TAATGGTCGATTGAGATCGATGAAAGCTCATTATGCAATTAATGAACGTGATCTACGTGTAATCAGACCATTTGTTTATGTTAGAGAAAAAATGTTGCGTCAATTTGCAGAATCTAAAAAACTACCTGTAATTTCAGAAAATTGTCCTGCTTGTTTTGAAGCTCCTAAGGTAAATGGTGTTAATAGTTAAATTCCTCTAAATAAAGGGAAAAAGTATTGTAATTTAAAAATAATTGGATAATGATTTTTTCTATTAAAGTTAATACAGTATTTATGTATTATATGGTTTTTGTTTTAATTTTAGGAACGTCATAGAACAAAACAATTACTCGCTCAACAAGAAATATTGTTTCCACACTTATTTGCATCATTACGCTCAGCTTTACGGCCCTTAATTAGTTTTAGGCAAACAGGTGAAGAAACCAAAACTTACCATCTCATGACTGGATTTGATGATTTTCAATGTGATAAAGATTCAGAAGAAGAACCATGATCATTTTGACTACCAAAAAATCTTCACATAGCCTAATTTACCATTTTTTTTATTATTATTATTATTATAATTTACAATAATTGAAGACATTTTAAATATTTTCCTTCATGTAAGTTTGTTATAATGATTATTTTTTGTTCTCTTATTTATTTATTTTTTCATTAAGTTTTATGATACTTTAGTTATAAAATAGGTATTGTTATTATTATTATTTTAACAAGAGATCTTGATAATATTTACTTACACCTAATTTATAGTTTTAATTGATTTAGACACACAAGTTATTTATTTATGGTACTTGTATGTTTTCAATTTAATGTAACAATTTAGTTATTACATTATCTAAATTTCATAGAACTACTTACTTTTAAAAATACATGGTAATTTTATTAACCTCTTGATTACATTCAACTGGTTTTAGATTAATACAAATAATTTCTTCAATTATTTACCAAAATGATAATTAACTTGACTTAACATATAATACATTTTATTAAATTACCATAAACTTTATTTATAGATTTTCGTCAACTTTAATTTTAGTTAAATTACAATACAATATTTGCTATTGTATTGGAATGTCTATAATTTTAATAAAAAAACTTAAATTTGATGTATACGATTCCAAACATTGTATTAATTAAAAAGTATAAAAATAATATTTTTTGTAAGAGTATTTTTGACTTTTGTTTAGTAAACAACCATTAGTTTAAGATCATATAATGTAATTTCAGTTTATGTTGTTTTGTTTATGTTTAAAACTATAAATTATATTTTTTTAATAATTATTAGGTACTATAAGAATTTTGGATAGAAATGCTTACTGCTTTAACTTAAAGCCTTTAAGTAATTCAATACAGTGTTCAATTTTAAGAATCCTAGCTTTGTATTGATTTTAATAATAAATCACGAATTATTAAAATTATGTGTTGTGTATACTTGTGTAGAGTAAGTATACTTTTATAATCGTTTTTCTCTGATTTTATTCCTGACTCTTATACTTGAAAATGTATAGCAAACTTTGGCAATTTAAGTATTAATATTGAATTCAAGTCTTTTTCATTTTCCAAGCTTAATAATTTTTTATTGTTTTTAAATTTATAATAAGACATCTTATATTATCCTGACTCTTGAGCCACAAGTCTAAGTAAAAAATATGTCAAATTACGTAATCTCAATACTCAATAGGTATTCCGCCCGTTTTTATTTTATTTCAATATAAAATATGGATGTAACACACTTGTCATCAGCCAAGGTTAAAACTAAGTCATGTGGATTCATCAATGTATTGACCCCCTATATCAACGATAGAATAAGATACATAAGGTTTAATTATATTATCATTTCTAAGGCTTGTTTGGTTTTGAACAGTAATTTTTTCTGATTTTTACTAAGAAAAACGAACATTTTTTATAGTCTTTATTCGTCAACAACGTGCAATTTGGACATGCTATACAAGTACATTCATAATCAAAGGAAGCATTTTCAACTAAATTTGTCGCAATTCCAGCAGCTCATTCGCGTATGTCATTAATTATCAAAATTAAAATAATGTACTGAAATTTAAATGGGTAGAAAAATGCAAGTAACACGCGTGTTTATAACTGTGTAATAATATATAATATAATAATACATCTAACGTAAATTTATTAAATCAGTGTAGGTATACAGACATACAGTGTAATTTGAGTGAATTTGTAATGTAAAATTCCAAAAACGCTCTTCAAGTCACAAACATGGACATATGACCGAAAACTTCGAATTATTAAGTGCCCTTGAAACGATGAAATATGATGATACAATATGACCAATATGTATTGGTACAGTTAACAAAAAAAGCGTTTACATACAAATTAATATTCAATTAACTGCTTCTGTGTACGTCATGTCAAAGTGGCGTTCCACAACTATTGAGTCACAAAAGATATTACTTTGAATGAACAATGTGAGCGCGTACTCTTATAACAATAACAATATGCTCGCATTGTAATAATAGTAGATAATAACCCTTTCAATGTATATAATATTTAACGCGCACAACTAAAAAAAGTGATGATGCACAGCGAATACGATTATTTTATTACGATGAAATTGTAATGCATACATAATACATACGTTTACGAGATAAATTATAACTCTGACTAATCGAACGAAATCAAAGTGAAAATAAAATAAAAACTTAACGAATTAAAGTATAAACGATAAATGTTTATTCTGCGTGTATTAATATTATTTACGTGAAGATTTTCCGTCTGTAATTATGTATACGTATTTAGGTACGATATAAAGTAGGTATTGACATATTGTACAACGCAATACAGGGCAAAACGTTAGAAAACATCACAATTTGTTCAGGAATTGCTAATTAATAACCAAATTGAAAGACTACACAAAATTATGAAAAAAGTTAAACAACGTTCAAAACTTTATTTTTAAATTTGGTTCATACAGGAATATATGCGTGGCTTACATACATTTTTAGAAGTTAATACTTGTATTAATAATTATTAGTAACTGTCTACACTATACGAATCATAATATTATATCATTAACGTATAATGTTTAAATTGCAATCTTATAAGTCGTTTAGTATAATTTCTATTTTATATTATTTCGTTTATAAAAATCTGTTTATCAATATATTTTTGAACACACGACGTGATGATAAAGACGAAGGTCCAAGACGACAAATTTGCTGATACGTACGTAACATATTAATATATTATAACGTTATATTAGTTAGGATAATTCACTAAGCAATACGCACGCACGCTCAAATATATCCACTTAAATACACGGGTATAACATATTTTATTCAAACACTGACTTTTGAAACTTTTAAATATACGTACCCTACCTACACTTAGTCTGCTCAAACGCAACATATGTCCTAACCATGGGCGGAGCTAGCCTTCTTGTTCAGGGATGCAAATTTTCTGCAAATATTAACCACCCTTCCCCCACCGCATAAAAACATTTTTATTTCAATATTTATTTTACTATGTGTAACACCTACTTAGTAGCGAAAGTCACAAAATAAAATTATTAAAAACACTGCAAATTGTCAGGTGTTTCACGTACCTACCATTTATTACGCACGATGACTCACTCCGCTCAGGATCTAAAATGGTTGTATGTAAATAGCTTTTTATTATGTTTAGGAGATGCCATCGTATACCCTGTATACGCTTTGGTTCCGTCTATGATCTTGACAAATCTCCCGAAGCCCAGTAAAATCGACGTTTTCTGTGCGACGGTTGCATTCGCCTGTCCGTAAAATTATATTATTATTTATCAATATCTATATTATTTTATATGAAATCATTTTAAGATTGAAAATGAATGATCAGTTTAATCAAACAATCAATTAAGTGAAAGTATTAATTATACTGCAGTTTGAAGTTAAAATGTATACCTAGATATTATATTTTATAAATAATATATTTAATATATGCACCATACACGCGCGTGTGCGTTACATGTGTAATGTGTATATATTTATTAATAATTATAGTTGATCCTTAACGGCGTTAATAGTGACAAATTCAATAATACTGCAGTGGACTTATTCTGTCTTAAATTTGGATGGTTTTAACTAAATATAAAATACAGGTCTAAAATTATTATAATACATTTTTTATTTTCTGTAACCAATGAACGGCAGTCGGCAACCTTAAACAAACTAAAAATAATATAGGTATTCGTTTTTTTGCTCGTCAACAAATCCTTTTATGAGCCCCTCTTTAAAAAGCAATATTTAAGAACAATGTTTCAAGGTGCACATACTCAGATATGGATTAATCATGTACCAAATTTTAGAACCACATACTTGGCAGAGGATCGCTTACACTCGCACACTCAGGACTCAGACAGGCTTTTATAATTATAGATATGTATAAATACGTTCCAATAGTCCCCAATAAGTCTAAATGCTCAATAAGTTATTTATCTGCTTTATCAGCTTTCTATTACCTATTTTATTTATTTACAAATAAATAAATTGTTATACGTTTTATTACAATTAGTTGTACTAAGTTATTGTGCCTATTTATTGTCTTAATTAATATAATATAGCGGCTATAACTTTATTTAGATTTTGGTATACGTCAGATGTCGCTCGAATAGTTTAGACCTGTTTATAATTTTTAGATGCCTACTTAGCAGTGATGTATTTACAATCTATTCTACATACCAAAATAATTAATAATGTAATAGCACACCCTACGATACCACATCACTTTAAAATTGTAAATCCTCGTCGTATGTCATTATAGCGCTCGTGTTTTAAATAACGTGTTAAATTATATTTGTCCAAGTATTTCATCACTTTAGTATTTATTATGCAAACCATGAGTAACATAATATAGTGGTTTGAAAATACGAATGCATTGATTAGATAAACTTTTTCGAGTGGTTCGAATTCACAGTACGCATAAACCTACACCCATATTTGTTTTCTCCAAATCTTATCTGTTCGTATGTGTGTGTGGTTTGAGATACGTATTTGAAATATTTTTTTATTATACGTCCGACAGCTTTTATAGATCGCGGTCGTATTCCTACATTGGTTATTTACACCGAATGGCGAATAATTATTGTTATTATTTGGTTGCGTGCTTAGCACTATACGCGTACCCGGTGGTCACTCAAAATGACTTTAACAATCCTTACGATCAAAATGCTCAGGCGTATTGGCAACAGATACAGCAAAGGCCGCAGGACCTCATCGACCAACAGTTCAGCCGTCCATCGTACAGTTTCCAAGAAATCCAACGACAGGCACAGCAGCAACAACAGCAGAGATTACAACAGCAACAACTGCAACAACAACAACAACAACAACTACAACTACAACAACAATTACAACAACAGCGGTTACAACAACAGCGAAATCAAAATTTTAATCAAAACCCAACCATGTTTCGGGAAAGACAGAATTATAGTAAGTAATATTTTTGTATAATGTACGTAAATAAATGTATGATGTATTACTTTAATACGGTTTGTACAGAGTACAGTTATGTGTGACTGTGTAGGTTTGACCGCGGGGCATAGAGAGGGGAAACCTCTGGTTCAAAATATTAAAAAATGAACTTATTGTTAATATCATAAAATTATTATTTATAAATAAATTATTAGTTGAATGATAAAAAAAAGGCTAAATTGAGTGTCACTTAGATTAATCGATTGATATAGGTATGTCAATAATTATTATTGATCCACTATAATGAATGAATGACCAATGAAGCAAAACCCATTTATTTTTATTCAATTGTCTATAATATGGATTTCAATTAACTAGTTATATAATAGTACCGTGATTCCTGTGCAAGCATTTTAACAAATTCATTTAGTTAGTATAATAAAAACATTTTTTAATACGTTACTTTTTAATTTGAAACACATTTTCTATCAAAGTTTTATACTTGAGATAAAATTAGACTTTTAACCCATCTAAGTTATAGCCATCTAAAATGTAAGTCGAAGACAAACTATGGATAGGGTAGAGCCTTTCAATAATGAATTTCACCCAAAATATTATTATTACCGATTTTATTGATCAAATAAATTATGGTAATAGGATATGGGAGATGGGGGTGTGAAATGGTTCAAATCGGTACTAGCCCCTATGGTCCCAATTCAAATTTATAAATAAAAGACTTTTAACCCATAGCCCATAATATAATGCTAGATAATCGAATATATTATTATGATCGATACTTAATACAAATATGATTTGGTATATAACTAATAATAATAATAATAATAATAATAATCTTAATTTACTATAATATTAAAATATATTTAAAACATAAAAATCGGTCTACATGAATTTTAAAAGCAAAAATAATATTAGTCCGTAAATTATAATTAATGTGAATAAATGTGCATTAACTACAATAAGTACTCACATGGTCTAGTAAAATAAACTTGTTCAACACCAAATTAAACTGTTTAGCAACCCAAACGCTGTAGACTTAATAATAGTATTATACTATTTAACAAAAAATAAAAAACAATATTGTGTCTTAATCAAAACGTCACGTCGTTTATAAAGGTAAATTATTTAAAATTATATACCTCTGAAATATTTTAATGCGTTGTTAAATTAGTTAGGTACTTATTGTTGAATAATAAAAATCATGAATACCTAATATTTTTACAGTCTAATAAACGTAACATTATACCGTCTGTATATACATTAATACTATACATGTATATTGTACATTATTACAGCTGTAATTAAAATCAAAAATCCCTAAATTCTTGTTTAGATTAGGTGATATGTGTTTACTTTAAAGTATTTCAATATTCGCTATGGTAATTATGATGTAATTTAGTGAGTCCAAATTGGAATGCTATATGATTATGATACGTAGGTATTGCATTAAAAAGAGTAGGTACAATTGCAGATCTCAGAACTAAATATAATTAATGCGTGTACAGTCATGTGCAGGTTGCGCATCGTCCGACCAATTAGTGTAAATACATTTTTAAGCTGTAACTACTTTTGTATCAATTCAATTTGTATTTCTAATATATTCTCAATTTATGTGTATACTCGGTGTATATTTTTAAATAATTACATTTAAGAATTCCTCCATGTTTGTTAAACATAATATTTTTAATTTAATACCAATAAAATAAAAATATAATGTACTATACGTAGTTTCAGTAATGAATAAACATAAGTTAGGTGATATTAATATTATGTATTATAAATATATAGTTGGATTATATATATATATATACTTATATGGACTATGGAGTATATGGTGTGTCATATTATAATTATATTTGTTTTTATCTCTAGTATAGGCTCACTGTTCGGCAAGACTATGAGTGTGATGTGACTATTACAAATTTCATCACCAAAAATATTAACTTAATACATAACAGGTTTATATTCAAACCGTTTCCTGTTGTAATTTATTTACACAATGACAAAATCATAAAACATAATATTATACTGCCGTATTGGTTGTACCTATACGTTTCGTATTTACTTTTATATTGTTGTATCTGAAAATGTGCTTATGATTCAAATTGTTATTAACTAAATACTTACCTGCAACCTGCTATATATATTTATATATATATACATATATATTGATTGATTATTTTTATTAGCTGATAAAATATTTTAAACTCATACTTTTTTATCACTTATGCGATTAATAGTATTCGAAATTTGTTCAATATTAAAAATTATATTACTTGTTTACATTTTAAGTAAAGGTGTTATATACCCATAAATATCTATAGTTTAGATTTTTTCATGAATAATTATACATGTACGAGAAAATACCAAAGCTAATACGATCATTATTTGAATACATACAGCTATATTAAAAAAAAAAAAAAAAAAATGTTATTTGATATATTAGTACAGGAATTCAAAATATAGCACACTCGTTTTAATTGATTAAACTATAATACGGTCTATTAAAATAAATATTATAGTTCCTTATATTTTATTGTAAAAAAAACGATTTTATTTACAGCATTTTTTTATTTGTAATACATATCTTATTTTAGTTATTTAAACGTACGTATAATATGTGTAATACATTCTTATTAAAAAATTTAAGTCTTAATTTTATATTACAGATAGTTTCGCATCCAGATATGCGCCGCCTACTCTAAGATTACAAGCTGGTTCAGCTCCGTACGTTTTGACCGAAATGAGATTGGCGGAAATCCGCGAAGAGTTTATGTATTGGTATTTTGATAGGGGCGGCGATAATGATCTAGGAGACTATCAAACCGACATACACGGATCTATGCCTCAGATTCACAAAAATTTTAATTTTCAATTGCCGTTCTTCGGTTTTAGATTTAACTATACTCGGGTGTCAATGAACGGTTATTTAGAATTCAGCGATCCACCAAAGCATTACCGGTATCCGTTGTCATTTCCGATTAAAGAGTGGCCAAAAAAAAACGATCCGTCTTTCATCGGCATATTCTTCAGCAAGTGTCGAATCGGTTCACTTAGAACTGATGATATCGATCGGCGCAAACCCGGAGTTTATTTCCGCCTGGAGAGGGATTTGCAGGCTCGAACCGATCAATTCGGAGTGGAAATGAGAGAGAGATTAATGTGGGATATTCGAGAAGGCGTAGTCGGCGCCGACTCGTTTGTACCCAAACACTCGGCTATCATTACGTGGAAAAATATGTCGTTCGCCGGAGGAATTGACAATTCTCTTTACAGGGTAAACACGAACAATGCAATAGTTGCATTTTATTGAGTACCTATATCTAGTTCGCAATTTAATAAACGCTGACACACTAAACAATGCAATTTTCATATTTTATATTTCAGACTAATACGTTTCAAATGGTCTTAGCCACCGACGAAGTATTCACTTACGCCATATTCAATTACGCAGACATGCAATGGACTAGTCATACAGAAGCCGGTGGCGATACGACAGGCGGCGAAGGGGGAGTACCAGCTTTTGTGAGTTGATTGAAAAATCACTACATGAATGTTTCTATATAATATACCGTGTCAAATATGTGTGGAGATAATATTACATTATTATTATGCTCTAGGTGGGATTCAACGCTGGCAACGGGACTAGGAGTTACGAGTATTATCCCTACTCGCAAAGATCGACTATTAGAGATTTAGTGGGTCGTGGTTGGGCCAATAATTTTCCGGGTCGACACATATTCAGAATTGACGAAAACATTATGTTAGGAACGTGTAACAAAGATATCGGTCAGTAAATCAGTTGTACATTTTGCATAAAAAATGTATAAAATAATAATAAAAAAAAAATAAAAAAAAATACTGCAATCTTCTTTAAAAGTTAATATTTTTCAGTTACAAACATAAATATGAATTTATACAGAATAATTCAACAAGTATACTTGTTTAATCTAATCTTATCATTTCTAAAAAATTTTAAATAGCCATGATAAAAACTTATGAAAAATCTTATATTAAATTATATTGATTGTGTGCATTTTTTTCATCAATATTAATAATAGTAAAAAACTTAAAAAAAAAAATCAAATATCAAATGTTTATTATAATACGAGTAATTTAAAAAGATTCAAAATAATTTTTAAATAATACTGTGTAAAAAAAAATTCTAAATGAACATAAATATTCGATGAATATTTCAAGTATACAATACGTTAATTCGGTTTTTGATTTTATCAAAAACTAGTTTTGTGTAAAAATTCAAAGAAAATTTTTTCCCTGACTTTTTAAAAAGTACTAGAAATTTTAATTTTTATCTCTTTGAAATTCCAATTTTCTTAACTAGAAAATATATTGAAGTTGAAAATCAAAGCATTATTTCCACTATATAAAATGTGTTATATACCTAAAATAGTATTTAAATATTTGAAAATAGTGGTATTAGATCTAGTACTTATCTACTTTAAAATTTTCTAAAATACATTTTATTATATTCTTCTCGATTTTCAGCTGGTACGAATTTGCCGTTGGTTTTTGCACCGGAAAGTGGCAACATGTTGGGTGGCACTGTCGTCAATATCACCGGTCCATGTTTTGAACCCGGAGACAAAGTACGATGCAAGTAAGTTACACATTTTTAGTTAGCTTAAATCTACCGAATAAAAGGTCTAGTAAAATATGGTTTACGTATGTGCGTTACTGTAGATTCGACACGGAAGAAGTTGTTGGCACCGTAGTGAATAGAAACCGCGCAGTTTGCATTCAACCGTTTTTAATGGCCGAAGGTTATGTTATATTTGACGTGGCGATTGGTGACGAAAAATACAACTGGAAAGGAAAATACTTTGTGGGTATGATGATATCGGCAAACGATTCGCGATTTTCGTATTATGTTAAGTTTTGTTCACATTGTTTCTTCATGTTTTTCCGCAGAAACCCCAGCCACAGCTACCGAACGTATTCGGTTTCAAGACGCGGCGATACGAGAACGAAAGCCTAAAGAAATAAAAATTACCTGGGAAAAACAAAATCTTACTACGAATTTTGACGCACAAATAGAGATATCGCTTTACGGTTATAGAGAAGTGACGATCGCGCCCGAACTCGTATTCATCGATGTCATAGCGGTAAGTGATTGTTAAACGTTTACACAACTTACGTAGGTTTTCATATTGTTGTATAGACCGACTACCTATGTAATGTTATTGTGTTGTATTTGCGTAGAAAAATATTCCCAATTCCGGTGAATACATCATAAACCCGGATGCCTTCGAAGACCGCGACAACACCAAAAACCTAGACTTGACGTTCGGATTCTTACAAATAAAACTGACCAATCCGACGATGTACTCCGGCATTTCGATTTCTCCGTAACCGTCTTTCTATTATTAACATACACACAATATAAAATACTCTCGATAATGTTTGTTTAAACTAAAATTCAACGGAACCAGACGAACTGTCCCACCACCACTACAACCACTATTAGTTTTACACGCATGTTCGGTTTCACCACAACCCCTAATCCAAATTATGCCGGGTTAATGTCGCAAGTCGAAGAGCCTAATTCGTAAACAACTGTGAGTTCTTGCGAAACGAAATAGATTCAATGGAACCGTTACGGCGCAAAGATATCGCCCAAAGTAAATTTTTGCTATTTCTCCGTGTCGACGCACCGTCGGATTCGTAAAACCCACTGACAACAGCTGAAAAATCGAGCTTTTCAGCGTGACAAATTTCTCCGGCGTAATTTGGATTGTTGTCCGACACACACACACACACAGTGTTGACGTTTATCCGTTGTTAATCGTGCCGTGTATATAGGATTCTGTGGAGCAAACCCGTACCTCTGGCGTGGTATTTGGCGCCGCAGTGGGAACGGTGGCACGGGTCTTCTTGGCCCGAGAAACTGTGCGACAACTGGATCAAGAACGACAGGTATCTGAAGAACTTCGCGGCCGAGATATTCCAGTGCCCGTGCACGCTAGACCACGCGCTCGTTGACCGGGGACGGTTCCTGCCGGACGCCGACTGCGACCGGGACGCCAACCCGCAGTGTCTGTACAACAAGGGCGCGGTGCACTGCGTGACCACCGGTGCGCCGAGCATGGAGGGCTCGGAGCAGCAGTGCTGCTACGACAAAAACAATTACCTCATGTTGTCCTACGACCAGCAGTGGGGTTCGAGGCCAAGAAGATCGCACAACTTGGGGTTTTTACCGTGGACCGAGGCCAACAAGGTAAACTTTGGCGGAAAATGCGCGCGCGCGCTCGACCTTCCAACAATTTCTTGTTACGACGAAACGTTGACGTGTGTTCCAGGTGCCTACACTATCCCAGTGGTTTCACGACATGAGCCCGTTTTTCCCGTGCTGCATGTGGCAGGAAGAGCAGGCGGTCGGTTGCGAGACATACCGTTTCGAACGACGTCCGTCTCAAGATTGCGTCGCATACCAATCGCCTTATGTGGGTAAGTGTGATAACGTAAACGCGCGAAAACCGTGGTTTGGAGGGGGGGGGGCGGAGTCCGATCTAGGTACATAATCGTGCTAAACTTATCCAATATGTATAATTTAATTTAAATCTGAAAGGTTCTATCATAGGATGGTCATTGGTCGCCCTTATCATGCTATTCTGTCATTATATTATATTGTTTTGTCGTACATATTATCACATTTACTTATTGTTTTTGTTACACAAATTGTAAATTTTCTAATTAAAAAAAAAAAAAAAATTTCCAATACGTTGAAATCGAGCTGAACGTGGTATTTTATAATATAAGGGGTGACCATCAGGGTCGATCGCTGCACGAGTTGGATTCTTTAATAATTCGTATTTTCTTGAATATTTTCAGTAAAAAAATATTAAATAAGTTAAAAGTAATAATTTTTAATCGACTATGTATTAAAATTTAAAACACGCTTTTTGTAAAATTATGAAATTAAGCGTTATTCTTAGTATTCTAAATAAAAGAGATAATACAAAAAAAAAAAAAAAATACTATATAATTTATACCAATCAAATAAATTGCACTACTGTAATAACACTGTGCTAATCACGTGACCGTGTACAATTATATAGCTACCGTCTTTGGCGATCCTCACGTGATTACTTTCGACGATCTCGAGTACACTTTCAACGGTAAAGGCGAGTTCGTGTTGGTCCACGTGGACTCAGAAAAGTTCAAATTCGACGTGCAAGGCAGATTCGAACAGTTGCCGGACAACATATACGGCCCGGTAAAGGCCACCACGCTGACGTCCGTAGTCTCCCGCGATAACACGTCCACCGTAATTGAAGTCCGATTGCGACCCCGAGTGGCACAGTGGAGGTATAGATTGGACGTTTTTGCCGATGGTAAACGAGTGTACTTCGACAGACCGGCGTTGAAGGTGCAACACTTTCACGGTAAACTAAGAATATATTATTATTATTATTATTATTATTATTGTTGTTGTTGTTAATATTTTGGTGTTATTGGATACGATCGGAAGTGATTATTTTAAACCGTTTTATATTTGTGAATTTTTTTTTTAATTCGTTTCAAGGTGTGACCGTTTACGCGCCTTCTTACGTTTTAAACCAGTCCGAAATCGTAGTCATGTTTCAATCTGGTGCTGGGTTAGAAGTATTGGAAAACAAAGGATTCATGACTACTCGGGTGTATTTGCCCTGGCAGTTTATCGTAAATATTAAAAACTATTAAAATTTCTCTATTTATTCTCCATTTCTTATTGTTTATGGCCGTTACGAGTTTTGGGTAGAGAATACGCATTTGTACTTATTTATTTTATTTTACACAGAATCGAACTAGAGGATTGTTTGGTAATTGGAGTTTTGATCAGTCCGATGATTTTACTTTACCTGATAGTTCAATAGTACATCCTAATACGTATGATTTCGAATCAGTGCACAAGCAGTATGCTTCCAATTGTGAGTAATGAATGAGTATAACGAGTAACGACAATATACATACATATTAATTATTATTTACATATAATGCATATTTTTTCATTATTATTTTTTTGTAATCTTGTAACAATATAACAATATTATTTTTGTATATTATATAATTATTTTTTCTCATAGGGATTTTAGAAGACAGAGACGAAAAGAACAAAGGCGGCGCATTATTCTTTCGTGAATACGGTCGAACGGCCAGCTATTATGCGAATCGAACGTTTGAACCCGTTTTTGAATCCACTCCGGAACTCATTATACCCGCTAACCGATCTGCCGACATTCAAAAAGCCAACGAACTTTGCGGCGACTCGTATCAATGTAAATACGATTATTCGGTTAGTCTTAATAGGGATTTGGCATTTTATACGTTACAATATCAAGACGGATACGTCAACACGAAAAAAATGAGTAAACAGAGAGGTAATAAGAAATAAACTTAATTTAAAGCGCCGTTCCTATATATATATATAATATATACACCTATATTTTATTAACTGTATAAACCGTTGTAGTTATATCGTGCGGAGTTTTGGAAACGCCACGTTTCGGACGAAAAAGTAACTTTCTGTTTGTACCCAACACAAAGGTGACATTCGAGTGTAATCAAGAATTTGTGTTGATTGGTGACCAAAGAAGATCTTGTTCGTCCGACGGTAAATGGGACATACCGGAATACGGGTACACGGAATGCTTACGTAAGTGCCAACAATTGACATTTTGAACTTGCGATAAAAATATAATGAGGGTCGAATTTCGAGTTGAAAAAAAATCAAACGTTTATAATACTATAGACCATAATCTAGCGCAGTGTTTCCCAATCTATGGGTCGCGAAATATTTTTTATGGGTCGCCAATCGCGATCTTTAATTAAAATATACATGAAAATAATTTTAACAAAACATTTTTAAATGCCTTACTTATGTTTTATTTGATACCTCTACGTATAATAATAATTTGAAGTCTCGTTAGTACTGTAGATTCTACAATGTAGATATAAATATATCTTTACTATAAAGTCTGTATTATATTTTTATCTTATCAGTTATCAGTATATGTGTTAATGACTGTTTATGTGGTATTGGTCAATTTTTTATTTCGTTGAGCAATAAGCAGTACATAGAAACTACGAGTGTAGGTACAAACGAAAAGTTTTTAGTTTACGATTAGACACTTATTTCTAAATACTCAAATTTTATACAATGTATATTATATTCTAATTTTTCTAATGGATAAATTTATTATTTGTAAAACCACATCCGTTGGTACCAGTCAACCAGTTTTATCAGACAGTTCAGTGAAATACAAGCATTTTTTTTTAGTGTTAGTGAGGGTGGTCGCGTAACTAACAAGTAGTACATTTATGGGTCGCCATAACAAAAAGGTTGGGAAACACTGATCTAGGGAGCTCTGACTCGAAAATTTTTAACATTTGTCCTATTTGCCATCTATTTGACAAAATGTTTGCCTACACATGAGCATTTAAAATCCATAGAATTTCTTTCATAAGTGTTAAAAAAAAAAAAAGAAAAAATCGTTAGTAAAGCCACAACCCGGACAATATATACAACATACAGAATTTATACAAAATCATATATCATCTAATAATACTTTTGCTTTTTATTGAAAGTCTGTTAGTGTATTCATTTTTATTCATCAATTAAATGAATAATTTATATCAAACGATTTTGACGTTTATAGGTGTTTTCTTATATTCATAAAATCACAACACTTTTTTTACATCAGCTTTTCTTTGTACAGCTTATACATATAATACGTGATTTCAGTAAACACTTAAAATTATAATTGTTTCTATTGTGTTGGCTAGAAAATTATATTTTTTGCAATAAAAAAGTAATTTAATAACTTAAAAAAAAGTAGTTGAGACTGAACGCCATCTATTTCTTAGTCAGTAAAACTGTTTAATTGTATAATGTTTTCGAAATTTTTCAGAAAAAACTTTTTAAAATAAGTGCATATAATTATTTTGATGCATAATTATTGTGTTACTAAGTATAAACATAGAATACATTTAAAAAACGAAAATTTTCATTTATCAAACACTAACTCTTTTTCTCAGAGCCTTCACACTTCTAAATCCGGCCCTGACTTCTATAACTAGGTAATATGATTTTAATACCGGGCTACACATATGTGACCGTACTTTTGTATATACTATCCACATAAAAATTAAATATTCTTATCTGATTTGGTTGAGGGGAGGTTTTTTAATAAGTAAGAATATTTGATAGCTTATTTTTTAATTTAAGCCTACTAAATATTGTTAGACCATTCTCCAACCCCTCAAAACAAAACAAAAAAATTTGATAATTTCACAGATTTATAACAGCATTTTAGAGATTTTGTAATATCGGAAAATTTTCGTTAGCGTCCGGTATGGACGTTAGCTTCGACTTCGCTCCCACCACTTTTTGCGTCGATATTACGTTAGGATCTGAACAATAATATCTTGATGGTACATTGGTACGACATCCCTTACCGAACTTATCAAAAACGCCACTGGTTTTATGACAACATGATAACATAAAACTATTAAAATACATTTATATATATTATGATGTATTTTACAATATTATAAAACGCAATAATATATAAGAGTGATGTGATGACGTGGTGTAAAGGTCACATCGAGTACGAGTCGCGGAGCGCGTGGACAACGATCGCTCTGATTGCGTGCTTCATAGTACCGTTGCTGGTAGGCATTTGCTGCGTGGTATCCCAAATGTACCGACGCAGCGGCCGGCTGAGTCTGCGGTACCAGACGGCGCAGGCGGCCAAGAGGCGCAACTCGGTGCTTGCTCTGAGCACGGTCGACCTGTCGTCGGCTGGCGCCGTGGCTAAGAATAAGGGGCGCCGCCGCGACAACGGGGAAAACGATGATGACAGTGGTGGCGGCGGCGGCGGCGGCGGATCGTCCACCGACGAGGAGGAACCGGTCAGTTCGGTGCCCAGTTCCACGAACCCGCGCCGGTCGTACGACGCCGTGTACCGGACGCACGAGCCGCTGCCCGGCAAACCGGAAGTGGACTTCGACCGAACCAAGGTCTGGGACCTGGACGCCGAGTACGAGGGACAGCTGGACAAGGTGGACAAGAGGACGGCCATTTACGTGCCAGGATCGCCAACGTCGTCGCCGCCACCGCAACCGCCAGTTGCAGACGCGGCTGCAGGATGGAGGTCGCCCGCAGGACCGTCAGTAGCGGTCCAAAGACAGATCCTGCCGTCCAGATTCAAAGACTCGTTTTGAAAATGGAAAACAATAATCATTTTTTTTATATGTATATGTGCGTGTATGTGTGTGTGTGAAAGGACGAAATTTCATTCCAAACATGAAGCGGCGGCGGTACTACATAAGACATTGACAAATAATATAATAGTAAAACACTACACATTAATGTAAAACATTATCGTCTGCGGGACTCGTTTGCGTGGGTGCACAAAACATGAAATTAAATTAAAACATTTACTTAAAAACGAACCACCGAATAATATATGTCAGAGGTTCTCAAACTTTTTGTGAACGACCCATTTTGGAAATTATTTAAATTTTGACGACTACCCACAATAATATCAATGACCTATATTTTATTTTTTTAGTTATTCGGGAAAAAGTAACACATATCTAAAAAAATGAAACGCAATCCACTAAAAAAATGATTCCGACCCATAGGTTGAGAACCTCTGGTATATGTTATTCGGGACCTTGCGTCCGAATCAATCGTTACCCATAACACAATACAGTGACTTTGTACGTATGTATTTCTCGCGGTTACTCGGATTTTTTATTATCATTGTTTAATAATAATTATTAAGCGGAACAATTTTACGACTAATCGGTATTAATTATCAAATATTTGTAATCGTCAACGCGTTCTATCATCCAATGCATTTATGTTTCGTTCCATCAGTCCATTAAATTCTTCAGTGATACCGTCGACAAGTGATGTTTCGTGAAATCAAAATTTAACATTCTAAAGACTATGAAATTTGTTTAAAAAATGTAGTAGGTACATAATATAATATAATGGATAGTTTCCAAATTACGTTTATGTTGCAGAACACCACTGTGAAGTAATCAATCATACTATGAACCCGAATAAAAACGGAAGTATTAAACGCCCAAACTTTTTAAATGCTTTACTTATCGGTGTTTGAACACTCGAATGGCTGAATAAACGACTCGGGCGATAAGCCTTGAAGTCATCATTACACTTATAAAAACACGTACCCTAATTTAGTTTAGTGTCGTTACTACAACGGAACCTCCTCTCTCCGGCCACGGTTTGGTATTTATAGTCGGCCAACCGTCTTCTCGCTTATTATACGACGTGCGCGACAATGAATTATTATATATTAACGTTGTTTCTAAATTTCTTCTTTGAGGCCCCCACCCCCTTAAATTTCAAAACGCGACAAAAATATTCCACAGCGTGTCCTGCTCAGTCTAGAAAACTCCAAACAGTGATTGTGATCAGCAGTACCGAAGAAATCGATAGGTACCACTCCATAGTTTATCGAACAAAAATTTTTATAAACGTCGCCGCGATGACAATCATGTGGAATGAAAATTCGGCTTTCAATATTTTCCTTATTATATTATGTTTGTATATATAAATAGATTTATAGTTTGTTCATAAACACCGATTGTAAATACATTATTAATTTTGTATGACAATCGTACGCCCTTGTACAATTTAACGATTAAGTTTCAAAGTATTAATTAAATCGCAATCGTTTTCATTTCGCACGAACTGTGTGTGTTGTTTCTTTTCGAGTGTAGGTACAGTAATTCGTTGTACTGTTGACGACGTCGGGTCGGGTGCCAGCGCCGAATACGAATATGATTTTAAAACCAAAAATAAAATCATCTCTGTTAGTCGATTTAGGTACACGCGAGGAATTTTCAAATCTCACAGCCGCTACTCACTTATACGCTCAGCGCATATTCGTAACTTTACGATTACAATAAAACTATTGTACACAATGTCGTAATATTCTTATGTTAGACACCGGAAATTGGACTCGACAATGAGAGATGTCGTCACGAAAAGTCACGTTAATCAATGAATCATCAACTAACCATATTTATGGACTATACCGAGTACAGATAAATAATATAAAGTAGCACAAGTGGAACGACTATATTAATCCGGGATTGATGTTAGAAGATTTTAAATTATAAACAAACTAGGGAAAATATTCTCTTAAACGACACAATTTCTCATTAGGTTTAAATAATAAATATCATCGTTACGTTTGCAGTGGCTTGAATTTATTTTTTAACACAATTTGGTCTGTAGAAATCTCGAAATAATCATATAGCACTACTTTTTACACTGTTTTCTCGACGCTACGGTATGGCCATACAATATGGAAAATAATAAACACTAAAAAGTAAAAACAATCGTTTTATTTTTTATTTTTTAACGGTCGCTGCACTTTGAATACTCAGCGAGCCGGTAATTAATTATTGTCCGGGTAGTGCTGCACTGCTTCTAATGAGAAATCAAATAATATTAAGAGTGTACAATGTACATAATATTGTTTAATCGCGCTGTCCATGCTCGCGCAACAGGTCATCAAGAGTTTTCGTCAAGGGCCCTGGTGACGATCGTACCAATCATGCTGCTCCTGTTGGGGCCACTGTTCCTCATCCTGATATGCGTCGGTTACCGAGTGTTTGTCAAGACCAAAAAGGCGCAGACGGTTAAGTGAGTACCATCCACAGCACCAGACCCACCAACCGACCTTGATGGTTGCAAAGGGGAACGATTTTGCGAGACTTAACATTTAAAATCCATTACGAATTTCTTTTTTTCGGTCGACACTCAGTCGATTGAAAGGTCTGTCGAAACGTCAATCACTGGGACAGTTCCCTGAAGACGCTCCTAACCAAATCGGTGACGAAGATTTGCAGCAGCAACCGGACGCCGAAAGGACGATTATGGTCCAGGAAAGTCATCAGAGGGAAACGGAAATTAACTGACAACCCATGTCGTCCATAAATAAATAATTTTGTTACACTTTGTAATAATTAATTTTTAATTTGTTTCAACAATTTTTAAATATATAATATAGTATAATATAATATAATATAGTATAATTATATAATAATGTCGATTTCAAAATATTATATGTTGGTCATAAGATATAAATACAAAAATACACGGTTTTACGAAAAATAAATATTTAACATATTTATAAATACACAATGATGATAATATAAATAAAAGTATACAAGCGTCGAAAAAAAATTACAATAATAACGTGTGATGATCACAATGATAATAATAATAATAATAATAATAATAGTAGGCCAAAATAATGTCAGGTATTTTTTTATTTTTTTTTTTTTGATATATGTATAATATACGTATATTGTGTTAGTACTTAGTACGTATACTACGTAAAGCATGTTTCGTTTATAAGTATTTTGATTAAAAAAAAAATTACACGAGGTTAATGTTTTTGTTATCGTTTAAATTCAATCCAACCAAAAATCTATATATATGTATAGTATATTATATACTATAGTCGATCGACCGTCAAAATACTGTAGAGATCACGGTTTATTACGTCTCAGTCGATTGGATTAAAAATAAAAATAAAAAATAAAATATAAATGTTATTTCGAATTTAGGTACTCTGAATAGGATCGTGCAAAAATAAGTCTATACGTTAAATAACACAATCTGTAGGCGAAAAATACTCGGAACGACACGCTACCCGACCAAACGGGAAATTCTGTCCGAATGGTTTAACCCGTCCACCGTCATCCGCACCTAATTCGTGTATGCGACATGTTTCTTTACGACCTGGTAATTGGTATACGCGTGGTCTAAATATAGTGATATTTTCGCACGAATAACTGACGGATGAATAGGGTCCGCGTGACGTGCGTGTGGAAAGGCAAGAACGCGGCGACGTATCGTATACAACGAGTGTATATTGATAGTATTGTCGAAAGGTAAACATAATGTAAAAAAAAAAAAGAAGTAATATTAAATACTTAAAATAATGGACAGCGTAATAAATTGATGAAGGGGAAGGAACTTTAACAACGAAAACAAATTGGGCAAGGTAATTAATAACAATTATTAAATTTTAGATAAATTGTTGGTAAAATTATTATTAAAAACATGTCTTAAACGTTTTGAAATCACAGATTAACAGTTATGAAAAAAAAATTAACGAAAAACATACATCGTTACTAGAACATTAATCACTTCATAGACTCAACAAAATGTAAATATTATATAAGTATCTATTATATATATATATCATCTAAACAACTTTTTGAAATATAAGATTTTTTGATCTGATGAAAAAATATTTGTCCAAAACAACATAACTACAATAATATTATTCTCTCTTACGATGAATATATAATAAAATATATAACTTTTTAACACGAACATATATTTATTATATTAAATTTATAAAATGGTAAAATGGTAATATCTGTTAAATTATTATTATCAAGTTTTTTTTTTTATCAAAATATATATTGTATTCGAACAAGGTACGTGTTTATTGTAACGAAAATAACGAAAGTCACAACCTATCATTAATTTTAAAGTCTCTCGCGTAAGGCTACTCGGGTAAAAAGTTAACAACCATCATCTAGCACCGTTCTATATAAAAAAGGAATAATAATAATAATAATAATAATAATGATGAAAAAGCGATTATACTCATCGTATTGCTCGGAAACAGTAAACCACCCAATCAGTCGGGGGTCGTGAAATACATCATGATAACAGACGGAAATGGCGGAAATGGAAAGGATGAGAAAAAATGTGGAGGGGAGGAGGGGGGGGGGAAGAAGAGGACTCGCAAGTTAGTTTTTCCGTTCAGTTCCGCTATTGCTGCAACAGCCGCTTTTCCCACTCTTCGCGGCGCTGTTGAATGCGCTTGAACCTGGGCACGACTTCGACTGCCGCCGACGCCGCAGCGACCGTCTGGTTTTCGTTGACGTCCACCACCTGCACGTGCTCCGCGCGGCGGTTATCGTTGTCCACCACGACCACGACCACGCGGTCATCGGACGCCACCGACACCTGCTGTTCCACCGGCCACTCGCCGTTCGACGAGGACACCGCCTTATTGTCGCTGCCGTCACCACCGTCATCGCCGCGGTCGACCTCGGCCGCCAGCAACAGGAATTCCGGTTCGCCGTCTTTGCCCAACTTCAGCGACCGCCTGGCGAACACTTTGAGCAGTTCGGGTTGCTGTTGGTCGTCGCGCTTCTTCCGCCGCACCACAACGTCGGCCGCGGTACCGCCCCCGCCGTTGTACAGTTTGGATGGGCGCGGTGCGGGCACCGGGCGCAGGTGTTGGTGACCGGCGTCGGTGCCGCCGAGTTGGTGTTCCGAGTCACTGGAACTGTAACTCCGGTGCCGCACGTCCGTCGTGGTCATCGACACCGCGGCCGCCGAGTCGACGGACTCGTCCAGGGCGGCGCTGGACACGCTGTCCGAAGACGACGATTTCTGGACGGACGACCCGTCGCCACTGGACGTGGCTTCGTCGTCCGTGGTGGCCATCTGGTGCGAATGCTGCTGTCCGAGACTGAACGACTGTTTGATCGGCGCAAACGTGTCCGGTTCGAACACTTCCTCGACACGAGCTACCGCTGATGGCACCGGCACGTGGTGATGGTGCTGATGGCCGTGGTCAGGCGGCATGTCGGGTGGATACGATAGTTGCATGCGTCCGGCCGGCGGCGGTTCTTCGCGTTGCCGCGGCTTCGCGCCCATCGTCTCGTCGAACAGGAAACGGTCCACATCTACGTCTTCGGTGGACGCGGATTTGGCGGCTGCCGCAGCTTTTTTCTTGGTGCTTCGGCGCGACAGCAAGCGGTGGAAAAAACCTTCTTCGCGCCGCGGAACGTTCTCCACGGAAATCTCGTCTACGGACGTGTCTAAGTCACAAGACTCGACCGTCGAGTCGGTGACGATACGAGCTGTGTCGGTGACAATGACGGGCACCTCGGTTGTGACGACCGTGTCGTTTGTAGTTGTAGAGGTAGTAGAGGTGGTGGTGGTGGTGGTGGTGGTGGTGGTGGTGGTGGTAGTAGTAGTGGATTTAGTGTTCGAAGTGACGGTGCTGATGGTGGTGGTGCCATCTGCAAACAAAAATAGACAAACACGTGTAGTAGTAGTGAGTGCAAAGTAAAAAAAAAAAAAAAACCGAGAAATCTGAGGTGATGCTACGGCGGTTGAAAGAAGGAAATAAGCAGTTATTATTATTATCGCATAAGCCCTCGCTTAGACCCAAACAAGAACGCGCGCGAGCTGATTTACTTAAATTATAGCAATAACATTAAATTTTAGAACGGCACTAGCAATGCATTTTTCCATCGACTGATCGTTGAAGTTTTCATCGTTGCGTAGTCCACGGAACCCCCGCACAGAGGACACACGTCTTCTTCGCTGATGGCAGACAGTCTTTTTCTCTTCGACACCGCGTCGTCTTCGCCACAGACGTTACTACTCGTGCCACAACTACTATCACTACTCATACTAGTATACATGAAGTAACTCTCCAAAAACGCCAAATACCCTTCCGGGTAAGCGTATAAATTCAGTCTAATTCTACCTTGGGTCACGTCGATTTGTCGTGGTCGCTGCTGTTGTTGTGATGGTAGTCGTCGTGGGAGTGATTGACGTTGTTTGCGAATTGATAACGGAGGAGAAATCTTGTTAAATCCGACTGGGCGGACGGACGAACTTCGCACGAAATACGGGAGTGTGTCATTTCGTACGCGATACGCGCCGGAACGTCTACGACTGAGACAACCGCACAGATGAAAAGCGCGGGACCGTCGATTTGGTATTTTACGTTTCGGTTTAGCAAAAGTGTTATTTTTCGACGGCCGTTTAGCCTTGAATTTGCTCGGATAATAAGCGGAATAGCTTTGGCCGTAATTGTATATACCTGCTGTGTCTGCAGTCTGAGGCTTGGTTTCGGGCGAAGTTGATCGGGCTGAGTGCTCTTCGTTCACTTCGGGCGTCGCGGGAAGAGCATTTGTCACAGTCAGCTGAGTGTAAAACATCAATGATTATACGTGTCGTCGGTATACATAAATGTAAATATGAAAATTTAAAATAATGTAATTAGGTCATTCACACTTACCGGTTTTTTGCTGCGAGGGTTACCGTGCTTTCTTTTGGGCCTAATAGCCATTCGGTGTTTAGCTACATCGTGACTAAGAGGAACACTTGTCGAATTGTCACCGTCTGCACAAAGTATAATACATTGGTTCAGATATTTGATATATTTATATATATATATATATATGTCAATATTACAGTAAAATATATAAAATAATGTTCGTGAAATTTACCTGAATTATCCAGGTGAGTTTGAGATGTGCGCTTGTCATGTAACGATATTTTTGACGAATGTCGAGAATTGTGAGCTCCGAAAGAATCCTTTAAGAAAGTTTGTATTTAATAAAAATAATAGCTTAAAATTTATAGTACATATTTATATTTTATTTATTATTGGCATAAAAATGTATTCAAACTATATAATTAATCGACAAAAATGTGTGATATTACACGATATATAGTATAGTATTATATCTATTAAATGTATTTAACTTATTCGGCATAAGAATTATTTAATATTTCAGTTATAAAATTAATTATGATTTTAACCTAACTAGCAAAAAACACATAGATTCTGCGCATTCCACTCGACACTTTCCCATTTGAGTGGAACTGGTCTCAATGTCAGGGTGTCGCTTAGAATACGCAGATCCAATTTTTGTAGAGCAGCTTCATATTATCTCACTAGATAGAGTATAGATAAATTATTAGTTATTTTTAAAAATATTTGAATTAAAAAAAAAAAACCTTCAGGAAATATTTAATGAATAATAATCGTTAAGAGGACATTGTATCCGCGTATGCTTTTTTCTATCTAACACACACATACGTAATGTGATAAATTTATGTATTGGATTTTTACTACTTACAGTTAATTATCAGTAATATTAGAGTAAATTTAGTAAATATGAATAAATTATAGAAGATATTATGAACTGTGTTATAGAGTTTTCATTTCAAATTTTTATTTTAAAATGAGTTAATAAGTACTTAAAATTCATTTTTTCAAATTTATACAACTAGTTTTCTTCTTTTTTTATTTTACTTCGAGCTTCGCTCCTAACTATATGAAGTCGGGCTACTTTGTCTTACATTTCTATAGAATTATGTTTCTCACCACTTCTTTATTAACATTAGCTATTTTCATGTCATTCTCTATTCTGTTTATCTATCTCTTATCCCATCTTCCTTTCCCTCAAACCCGTTTTAAAATCAAAATATGAAAACAAAAACTAGTAAATTTAAATATTTTCAAATTTAAGTTGATTTTTATTTGATCGTACGTTAATCATGAATGAAGCATTTAATATTAATTACTACATTGTATTTAAATGTACCTATATTATGTGCCCACTGGGGTGTAAATCATTATAAAAACGATTTTAACTATTATTATTATTACTATTAAATAATATTAATATAAACAATTATTATTTGAGATCTTTCAAAAGCTATGTGAGGTATTTTGGTTTATTTTTTTCTTTTGTTCATAATTTTAATTTTAATCATTTTACATTCAATACTAAATTACGTATATTGTACATTTTAATACATAATGGTATTATATTTTTATTCTTATGTTATTTGTTTATTGTATCATAATATTATTTTAAATCATTAATATTATATTGTAAAATTTAAAAAGAAATTGATAAGATAAGCTTCTTTCAGCTCAAGTTTAGTCTAAAGGGAAGTGCTGCAATATTTAAAATTTAAATTAATTATTTATTAAATATATAATTTGTTATCGTTGCAATTAAATAATAATTATTATTTAATATTTGTCGTACTTCATCCATTTCGGAACTTCCCATACTAAGGAGTGATCCATCACTGCATGTACTATGTGAAGATTTAGTTATCAGCTCCTATTAATACGTTTTTAAAAGTAATAAGTCATTAGAATGGATTTGATAAAAAATACGTTTAAGTTATATAATCTTACTTTGCTCAATCGGAGATCATTGCCAGTGGCAATAGTAGGAGAATGCATTGATGGACTTCGTGGGAGTCCTAAATCTTCATTGTCAAAACTATCATCGTCATCTTGAATTTTTCTTCGCCTTCTTACCGCTTCTAGTAATTCAGCCTTTATTTAAGTTTAAAAAATCTTTAGTATAAAAAATTAAATAATTTAACACAATTTATTTACTAAAAATAAATGTATTATTTTATAAACACATAAACATAATTCATGCATACAAAATTTTTCGGGTGTGAAAACCAGATTTAGACCATTACATTTCAGATGTACCTATCATTTTTGAGCACTGTTCACACCTGTATACATTTCAGTAATCCCTACACGGATAATTGGATGCATGAAATGTAAAAAAAATAATTATTAATTTTTTGATACTTTTAAAAAGAACGGGTCAACACTTTTTTTAGTTTCTAACATATTTTATGTTGAAATAGTATATCAATGAAAATGTATGATTACAGATAAATATAAAAGATTTACACAAGTCAATTAACAATTTTTTTGATTTTCAAGTATAAGTTGGTATTTGTAGTGATTGGAAACACCATTTTAATAAGTCTCGATTACTATCCTAATAGTATAAATAATTATATAGTTCTACGTAAAGTATGATGTACATAAGTTTAAAAAAATAAATAATATTTAGAATCAACTATCAAGTATATAATAGTAGTAATATCGTAAAACACAGAAGGTATCACAACTTCACAACAGGGCGTTACACATGGTGGTTTGCTATACAGTGTTGATTAAAGGTCACGGTCAGCTGGGTTCCCGCAATTCTCCCTATTTGAAATGCTTCGGGCCATTGTAGTGTCTGGTATACATACTAAATATAATAGGTCGTTAATGCACTAGCGCGCGCATCAACCTCGCTTATCTAGTTTTAATCGAGAGAAAATGTAAACTACACGCAAACTATAAATATAATATTATTACGGTTCAGGTCGAATTCAAATAAATAGCGTTCTCAATTAGATTTTTTTTTTAAATTTAACACAGTTTCAGAAAAATTTATAAAATAATATACTTACCTGAGCCATATTTTTTTCAAAGAATCTTATAAGGAACTAATACGTTTAAGAGTTTTGACGACACAAACAAATTGAAAGTTTTTGTTTCTGTATATTAGGTTAGATAGTAAATCTGAATAGCAACACACTAAATTATTCATACGACTTAATATTTTATATAAATATACATAATTCATCGAACACTACATAGTAGTATATGATTTGTTTAAAAATATTAGAAAACAATTGTTTGGCAAATTAAACGGAAATTAGCTATTGTCTTTTGGACCATTTAAAAATTAAAACGAACAATACTAATGAATGTTAATAGGTATTGAAAACAATGGGAAAATTTGCTAGATAATACGAGTATAATATTTTAAAATACTTATAATGTAGTAATGAAAGCAAATTTTTCTTAAATGTATTATTAATAATATATAAAACTAAAAATTGAATTTTTAATTACCTGTATATTGGCTTGAGGAAAACCTAACCGTGGTACGGATACAGCAGATTCAGAGTCAGATTGACCAGAATGTTGTTCAGGATTAAATACACTGTCATGGCTAACACTTAGTATAGTGGAGTGTAAGCTTCTACAATTAATTTATAAAAACTTCATTAAAATGTAGCCCTGGAGCGTAAAGATAAATAAAGAATTCTATTCTTTATACATACCGCCTCCTAGTAAATGGCTCGTCAATCAGCTGACTAGTCGAACGACTTCTAGACGTATCCAAACTAGGTGGTTCTACAATATTGTCACATGATTTAACTTCGTTGGGCTCAGGGCTATGAGCTTTACGTTTGAATATTTGACGAAGCCTTCTGAGTGGATTAAACCGACGTACTTTTGGTTCTATTAACATTTTTACAATTTTTAAATATTATTTGAAGGAGATTTTTTTAACGACCTTTAATTTACCTGATCTCTGACTGACCACATGTTCTGACTGTGGTGATGATTCCCGCACACAAGACATAGTGTGTAAATTATCATACAGTTTGTTTTATTTTTTTCCGTTGCATTTAGCTGTAACAAATAAGAATAAAGAATAATCAATTTGCTTAAAATCTTTGATCATAAAAAAACACATTAATTTTTATTTGTTTTGTAGAATTAACGTTATTATATACATAAATAAATTGAGATTCCTCTGTTCGACAAATACAAAAAACATGTGGCCATTCTACTTTGTATAAATATACATTATATACTTAATATTTCCTTTTGATTAAGAGCACAAAATAAAAATGAAAAGATGGATTTATGAGTGCTTATTTTAAAAACTAGTCTGTCTTTAAAAATATAAAATCACGCCAAAATTATTAACTAAGAAATAAACAGTGATTGAAACTAAATAAAATCCAAATCAATGAAAAAGACAAGTGAATACTTAATAGATATAGTTTACGCTTTAATAAACAATCAACATACAAAAAAATGACAGATAATTAAATTTAAAATTATACTCGATACTATTATTGATGTATTAACTGTATTATGTATTGAGAATGTTAATACTATAATATTTGGCTAATTTTAAAAGAAATAATACATAAGCAAAATTAAAACATAATTTGTACATCAAAGTCAAAGCATATCTTAATTAGCTTAACTTATAAGAAATTTATATGTATATATACCATAAATATATTATGCTTTAAAACTTAAAAATGACAGATAACTCTATAAAAAAACTTTTATATTAATTAGATGTGTACTGTATAAAGGCATTAATGATGGCAGCAAGTAACATAAAACCTAATAATCATGTATTGACTATTGCATAATATATAACTTTTATATGCACTATGGGTACCTAAATATAGAGTACACGGTGATTTATTTTTATTGAAAATCAAGCAGTAAAAACCATTTTTATTTAAACTTTAACGAACATAATGCAAATAAACAAAATAAAAGTATTGTCTACCTATGTAATATCAATTTTATAATAGAAATCATAATATATTATAGAAACTTGTGATATCAGTTTATTAGTTAAATTATTTTTTGTACCATTATAAGTTATTATTATAAAATACATATTATAAATAAAATGTCTGTATAATAATTATTTTTGCAAATAAACTTTCATAATACTCGTATAATAATATTATACCTAACTGATGTTTTCAAATGGTGACAAATATTATGTACTATATTACTTAGGATTATTTATTACTGTGTAATTTTCATGCAGGTATAGGATATATAATATATATATATATTATATATAAATAAATATATATTATGTTTATATACACTTTTTTATTAATTAAATAAAGTACTAATTTTTTATTTATATATTCTTTTAATAAACTAATAGTTGAGTTATGTTTATAATGTGCTTAATATATATATACCTAATTTATTATTATTTTTTCTTATTTAGATTGTGTCAATGTTTAGAAAAAACACGTTAATATATTTCAAACATCACGTAGATATCAATTTCTCACTTATTAAATAGAAAATATATCAAATATAACATAAACAAAATATTATTTTTAAGGACTTGCTTCATAAATAATTCAAATTAAATTAATTTTATAATATTATTATAGCATTATCGTATCTATATTTTATTTATTATTTATATAGTGACATTAAAAAGTTCATAAAATATTTAAATGAATTCACAATTTCTGAATAACAAAAATATTTTAAAATAAAATCTATATTACATAATGAAGATAATAGACTAAAATAAAAAATGAAAACAATATATAGGTATTAAACTATATTTAATCAATTTATGGATATTTTTATATAAAAACATGTTGAAATTAGGCATGATTAACAGATTTTTATAACTGATAGCGTGTTGATGTTAAGTTAAGTAATATAACTAATAAATGAAGCTAGCAAATTTCGAACTAATTTAGTTGTTTCCTATTAAGTTTATTATAATATAAGTTTATCTCTGGAACATACACTAAATTTAAAAAGAATTTATATTATGTATAATGAACAATTATTAAAAATTCCTGCGGACGCCCTTGCCTCCGGGTGTAATTATTAATAATAATTTTATAATGTATCTATAATCTCAAGAAAATGTTAAAAAATATAAATTTTTCTGACTTTTGTTTACTAAGGATATGTAAATATCGAAAAAGGGTGGATATAGAAATCACTTATTACTATAGCTGCGGTGACTGTGTGGTGTAGTAATTACTATGATTATAAATATACACAGCTGATATAACAAAACCCAAGTAAAATCATCTGAATGTTAGTCGGCAAGTCTGTTGAAGCTTGGTATATCAAAGACACCAAAAATAACTAATCCTGAAACTATTTTATGTTTTATGTTGATACATCCCAATATTTAATTTATATAATAAACTTCTTTTGTTTATTGATACTTAAAATTTTTGTTATTGCCAATATTATCGTAAATAAAATTTCTTTAAGTTTAAGGAAATATGTAGGCATACATAATATAAATACGCAAAAGGGAAATGTGTGCATAAGATTATAATATAGCACATATTATTATCTAAAATATTATTTAAATAAAACATGTAGTTAATAATATAATAATATATTAGCATTAAAACAATAACAATTGATAATTAAACTATTTGTATATGGTTCTCGTAAAATACTGATCGGTTATTTTTACTTCGTCAATATTAGATAAATACCAAATAATACACAAATATTTTTTCAGAACAAATGATTTGATAAACCCTAAAATAATTTATAATATATATGGCTGCATAAAGAATCAGATTTCTAAATTGTCATTACAGATTGATCTTGTAAGATTAGCGTAGATTAATTTTTACAGCGTAAGTTCGATATTTAGACAAAATCCTGTATTATATTATATATATATACCTATATAACATTATTATATTTATATGTGTATGATATAAAATATAGTTTGATGTTAAATTTTCACGGTGTTTCAAAAATTTAGTAAACAATAATACAAGTTTTAAAACATAATAAATATGAAAACTTGGGTTTCAACTGTGATAGATAACAAAACCATTTTATTAATATACACTTTATTACACTCCCATCATAATATGTTAAAATCAATGGTATTATTATAATTATAATACATATTATATGTTATGGCTATTGGTGTTATTTAACTATCAATAAGACGAAAACTCAGCTACTGGTAATTAGTGCATTGATAACCAACAAGTAATTTTCAATTCTACTATTATAAAAATTATTATTATCTACAAGGTAATTCTACAGATAACTATTATTACAACAAATTGTATTGTTTCTGCTAACGGTTTTAACTTTTAACATAATACATAAATGACATTTCCGTTTTAATGTATATTAGAATTTATGCCTTATGAGTTTAACTTACACATAACATATTATAAAATATTAATTTGTTTTTTAAGTGTAGAATTAATACATTGTTTATAAATTATAACTATGAGTTTAATTTTTAATAAAATATATAATTTTTTTACGCTTAAATAATATAGTAATACAATTATTATACGTCATATTTAATTCAATAACATTAACAGTCATTTCTAAATATTTTAAAATAATAACATTTAAGAAAATAGAAAATCAAAAAATTTAAAATAAATATAATGTAATAGTTATATTATTTATGTATAGAGTACGAAGCACAACGATAATGTTTAACAGTCCGAAATGTGAACCCACTTTCTCTTTTTTATAGTTGTGATTATATTATATAGAAATGACTATATAGTCTTTTAATTTCCATCATTGTGTTGTTTTATTTTTAGAGAATTTTCAATTGTAATGTTAAAATGAAAAACTCTAATCATGTAACAACATTTAAATTAAACAATTCTTTTCTCGAGAAAATTAGAATTTATACTGAATGAATTTTCTCGGCAATTTTCACATACTGGGGAAATTACATTTCCATAAAACAACATATTATTAATACAAATATTTACAATCAGTTGGGTATAGTATAATTATTTCTTTGAAAAGCGTTAATATTTGTATATATGACAAGATCATCATTGTTTTAAATTTTTTAATAAAAAAATTGTTTATATAAAGAGCTGCTATAATTAGAACTATTGTTGATGAACTTATCGCTATTTAATAACGTAATATTAAAACTCAATATCACATGATACATCCTTACATAAATGATAATTATAACATTTATAATTTATAACACATATAAGCTCAATTTAATAACATAATTAATGATAGCAATGAATATCAACACACAGTAATACAATAATATAATATAAATCTGCTACACACGAGCGATACATCAGTGGTATACAAAATATTATTATAAATACAAATTTTATTAATAAAAAAATAAGTTTAACAATTTACATTGTTACTATGGTTATAAGTAATAAATGTTTTGTCGATTTGAATAAAACCATTTTAACCATTACTAATGTACAACATAGTGAAAAACTAAATAATATTACTGTTTTCAGGTATTTATTTACTAAACGCTTTTTTTATTTTGTCTATCTTATAATTAAAATAAAATATTATCTAATAATAAATCATTTGTATTACTCTTCTAAGACCTGAATTTTTAACTGATTTTAGCAGTCAATAAATTTTGCTATTTTTTACAAGAATAAAAAATTAACGATGGCTAATGGTGAAAAGTTAAGCCGAAAGATGATTTTTCCATACACATTCACATCTAAGGTTGTTCAATTTCCCTTTAAATTACACTTCAATAATCATTGGATGTTTCCGTGGCTTATTAGAGCAACTGTAATTGTTTCACCCATATTTTATCTAATTCAGAAAGCTGCGAACAGTGAAGCTAATGTAAAGTTATGGGCCGAGAAAAGGAGGAAAGAAGAAGACAATTACAAACACAAGTGGGATTAAACACGATTTTGTTAATAGTTTTAATTAAACAAATTGTATTCTAATTATATATACAAATAAATAAATATTTTTGTATACTATAACGAATTTTGCATCGGAAAAAAACTGTTGGGTTCGCTTTCATAAAAAGTATGATCAGTATGATTATTTTTAAGTTGAAGTATAAAAAAGGAACAATGAACTATTCATAGTAGGCCAAATTCGTGACAATGCTTCCAGGCCAAGTCATTATTAATACTCAAATGGAAATACTTAAGTTATAACGATACCAAAAACATTTTCATAAAATTATAGATGTTGGGAACACCTGAAAACCACTTAACAACTACTGTTTATTTAAGTAACTAGAAGTGGCCATATAAGGATCAAAACAGAGTTCGCAAATTCATTCGTGGCCATGGCTTGACCTTTAGTAATATTTTTCTATCTTTATTACCTTTATAAGCAATGTAATATGATCCTATTGTACCTAGACTAATTTAGTTTTTATATTTATGGGCAACTATTTAGTACCATACTTACGAAATAAATATTTATCAATCATTTAATAATTGTATTTAATACAGGAATGATTCTATTTTAAAATTTAATTTCTAGGTATACATAAAAGAAAAAAAAACCTAGTACATAACTATATTACAATAAATTAATGTATAATGAATGTTATTTGATTTGAGTGATTACTTTTACCTTAAATTTAACAAATTTGTTTGGATTTTGTAAATATTCATTAGTTTAAATTTTTTTACAATACTCTTTAGTCAATTAAATAATCAAATTTAAAAAATATCAGTTATAATTTAAATTATAATATCTTGCAATATCTTTCATCTAATGAGGGCAGCTGTGAGAAATTTGCCAAATATGTTATAGGTTATGCACATGGCGATTTTATTTAGACACAGCAGTATTTTACGTTTCATAACAATGTTTTTTTATTATTATTTTTTTTTTAATAAAGAACCAGTCACGCCCGCACAGTTTTAATCCAACAACGTTGTAAAACGAGTCGAACGACTATTTTAAAAACGATCCAATGTTTTTCTATAATCACTCGATCGAGATAGGTGGATTGAACGGATATGATCATGGTTACCGGAAGTATGTATCAGTAATGTTTAACAACCCATATCTTCCTTCCGGCTTTTGTATAATATGAAATCCAATAATGCAAAAATATATTAATTTGTTTCTTTAAATATAAGAAATGAAATCCAATTTTACATTATTTTTACAATGAAATGATAATATTAATAAATATTAAATGTTTAAATACAATAACTTTAAACACCGCTGTCTTATATGTACAACATAGTAAATTTTACATTTACAATAATCCATTTTACTGTTTAATTTATAAAATTGGAGTGAATTGATCTATAGTGAAATTTAATGGTATGATTATTATTGAAGGTATCTCAGAGGCTTTTATTAATATTTTAATTTTGATGTAATAGTTATATTAATTTTAAAATTTTAAATTTTAAATTACTCATAATTTGTTTCATAGTTATAATTAAAACATTATAAATTAATAAAAGTATCTAGTTTGCCCTAGATAATAATCTTATCTTTAAATTGATAATTGGTCAAATCATCTTTTTTTTAAAAAATAATAAAGCAAAATGGATTGTTGTCAACATAAAATTGGCTAAAATATATGTTCGTAAAACAAAAACAACACATGCTGGTGTATTTTTTAATATGACATAAAAAAATATAGTTAAAAAAAAAACAAGGCGTATTTGATTATTTTACCACACCATCATTTCAAGATATATATTAAATGATAAAGTTTTCTATTAATTCGTAAAGTAAATTGATAAAAGATAAGAAAGTGGGGGAGTAGCCAAATTAGTTCCCATTTAAATTTATGATGATCCCGCAAAAGGTCGAATTACTTCTTGCATTTTAATTACGCACATTTCCCTCTCCAATTTTACAGGCTTAGGATTATCAACTTTAAAGAAGGCATAGTCAAGAATGTGCGTTAGCGATTATTGAAGTAGAAGTCAATCAGTCATCAATTAAGTCAAATAATAAAATAAAATAATTTAAAATTTAAGGTTGTTGAACTGATAGGTAAGCTAATATTGCAAATTTGAAACAAACTTTCTTCAAATATTTTAGCCGTGTAAATTTCCCATTATACAGTTTTTGAAGTATAGGGTTGTTTTTTCTTTGTTGGTTTTAGTTTCCTAGTAATACTACTGTTAAATTTAATAAAATAAAATATATTAAGATGGGTGCCACTAAATATTTTATTTAGTTTAGAACGGAACGATTCGCAACAATTTGTAGTTCTATCATTATTTTTTATTGGTAAAATATTTTGAAATAAATCAATAATGTTATTGCGTATATAAATTTATAGTAAAATTCATAATAATTTAAAATACATGAAAATTTAAGTTTCCACGAATAATGTTTTTAAATTATAAAAAAATATTAACATATCGTTATTTTTCGTTTAAATAAATAATTTTGTCAACATTTTAATTTCAAATGCATATAAAAAATTGTGCGTAAGTAATTAATTAATATTTTTAAACAAATATAAAGATAACTTTTGTGGCATCTTATATTAAATTTTCAACATTTTTTACCTAGAGAATAACTTTTAGTCGACACTTATAGAAAATAACTAAAACAAAATTGAAAAACCTGTTGCTTATATAAATAGCTCAAAAATAGTCAACATATTCATATTTTTAAAATTAAATTGTAAACAGAAAATAATAAATTTAATATTTGGCGAAAAATTGTAAGAAGTTATGATAATTCGTTTTTGAGTTAAACCAAAAAAAAAAAAAATCGATTTTTTAAGAATTTAGTTTGTATAAAAAATTTCTGTTTTTCATTAATTTTTTATTTGTTTTTCTCAATTTTTAAGTTTAAACTTCTCAAAAGACCAAACTAGATCCTATTTAATATCCAAAACCACTCTTATTTTGAAAATTTAAGCATTTTATCAACAACTTATTGTGTAGATACTCGTCTACAAAAAAAAAAATAAATAAAATAAAAACAAATAATACTGAAATCAAAATATTTATCGCTCCGCTTAGAATCTAATATGAATAAGTGTAAATGTAAACTTTGAATTGTTTGTAAAATTAATTTTAACAATATAATCACAAACTATATTTTTTGAATAAAAGATCATCATGAAACTAAATAACTAAACATTGCAGTATTAGAAATAAATGTAAAATTACTATCAGTAATATATCATACTGAACTGAAAAAAGAAGAATTTATATTTCCATTATTTGAAATACCTACTTAAATTAACGTATTAGATAATGTTATAGACTAAATTATATATGGTAGTAATGAATACAAACAATTAAATTCTTAAAACAATTAATAGCTCATTTTAATTTAATTTTTATTGTTCTAAAAGTAATACAATTATAATAAAAATTTGTATGTAAATAAATTAAATCTACTTGTAAATTATGCCTGTAAAATAATATTGACACGTATATTCAAGAGCACAAATACAGTTACAATAAGGGCATCGCCCACTCAATTATATTTTTTTACTGAGTCGTTATGGCAATAATAAAATAATAAGTGAAAATATCTTAAGATATGCGTTATCTTTTAAACGTGCAGGCAACCGACCTAGTGATGTTGAAACCAGATCAAATTACACCGGGGAACAGAATGAAGGTGTTCCTATGAAATTTAAGTAACCCATATGTCTTTGATTTAACTATAACACTGAATTAACTACTTGTATAATAATTTATGAATATTTTATTATGTTTGATATTTGTATCATTCAATCCATAGTTTATATGTATTTAATAAAAAAAAAATAACAATATTAATATATCCTTCGAGGCACTAAATAATATATTACATAATCTTATTGAATGTAATTCATAATAATAGTACCATAAAATATTAACATTAAAAAATAAAACTAGAAAACCGTCAAGAGGACGCAATCCTCTTAACGGTCCATATATACACTCTCACGCGAATAATAAAACAAAAACAAGTTTACGCAGATCAATCATCAGTCATAACTTAAAAATTATTATTAGGAAGTGACTGAACGTTTAAACTGGTATAATAAAAATAAAAATGTATATTCTTGAGTTTCACGTAACCTTTTTTTTATTATATTATAAACTATATACAATATCGCTCAATATAAACGTATTTTAGAAATGTTTTCAATAACTTTGAATACGTTAACCTTTTTTCAAATATTCATAATATATAAGTAGGCAAACTAAAAATATATACCTTCAAAAATATTTTTATTTTTAAAATTTTATAAATTATGTTTAAATGAATTTTTAACTTAAATAATCACTTTCAATAAATTATTACCTAGTTTATAATTTAGTTGTATTAACCTACACCTCTTTCCCATAAATACAAAACTACAAAACTGCAAAATCGTCTCAATATGGCAACTTTTATATTATTCAATAAAAAAAAAAAAACTGTTCTTATTATTTTTTAACCCAAATATTATTTATACGAGTATAAGTATATATATATACATGTCAATAACTTTGTGTGTGTAAATTAAAAAAATATATTGTAACAAATTAAGTAATAATTTACATGCAACAAACTTGTTCTCTTTAATAATACTTACTCTTTAAAATCACAGTTGTATTTATTTAGATGTAATTAAAAAAAAAGTTATTTCATTATTTAAACAGTAAATATCCATTAACTCAAAAAGTATTAATTTTTTTTAAATGATTATATTTTCATTATTTTTAATTTTTATCATTATTATTTTTTTCAGTTTTTTTTCTTGACGGCACAATTTAATTTTATACTCAAAAAACAAAATATTTATTTGAAAATTTTGTAGTCTAATAAATTAATTTCAAACAAGTATAAATCATTAGTTTCAAGTACCGATATAAAATTTTTAAGAGTCGAATTGAGTGGTCCAGAGGTACCCCACAAATTGATAATCTATCACTCCACTTATTTTAATGTAATACTGATAAGTTAAAAGT